ACGGGCCTCAGCGCAAGCCCGTTCCACGCACGGCGTTGTAGAGGCATTTGCAAGGACCCACTGTCCAGCCTGTGAGCTATCTTTGTAAAGCCATCACACTGTCTCCCTATCATGGATGAAACCAAAGCGCAACTGCAGCAACTGCCGAAACCAAGCACCAGCAGCTACACAAGCAGGGGAGATCTTATTGCCGATTGTGAATGTTGCTTACATGTGTGACCCACTGCCGACTTCCTACATCTACAAGTTCAAGCATGTTGCAACACAGTACTTCCGAACGAGAAGAAGCACACCGTCACCCAATACAACCTTCCTAGTACTTGCCATCTTGAAGCTTTTCTCATACCGTGAGCCTGGCAGGAGTACGTCGCCTGGGGGTTGGCGTCGTAGCCCGCGAAACAGCGGATGCCGCAGGTTGCGCCGTGAGGTCGTCCCGCGCAGTCCAACTCCTCAGACATGCATGAACGACTTCAGGCTGAACACTGGCCTACAGACAATCAGAGGCAACAATGGCCGTCGATGTACGCAGAGCAAGATATGGCATTCGCAGTGGAATCAACAATGGCAGTAGCAGCGGTGGCTGGAGTACTGGGAATGACGCACATGACTGATACCATGAACAGTGACACGAGCAACCGCAGGCGAAGGAAAATGAACACTAAGACTATCCACAAATGCGCAGCTCATTCTATGATGACTACACTGGTGATCCTAAGAAGCTGAAGCCTTCAATGTCCACAGCTTTGAGCAACTGTAACTTTTCATTCCTGCATTATTGCTCACTGTGGCTCCGATCAGTGCCATTCTTGCAACCCCTTTAAAAGCTACATACCATTCCTAGGATGATCGGCAGTACCAGAGTTGTAAGGGTGCTATGCTTGCTGTTGCTCATATTGCATCCCAACTTGAAAATTCTGGGCTCCCAGCCGGGATCTCTCCTGCTGACCACGGTGGCTCCCCAGAACCTCACATGTCTGGAGTCTGCAGAAACAGAAAGTAACCAACTTCTGGATTTCTTTCCCACTTTTTAGGGGGCCATGTGAGGATTCTGAAGCCCTTCCAAAGCCGGGCGGCATGGCAAAGGGAGGCAGCTCAGGAAACCGTAAAAACGGCCATCGGCCCTGCACCGGAGCTCCTGGCGGCCATCTGGCTCATACCCGGACGCACACCGCGGCGAGCAGGTGGAGTTGTACAAACTACCTTCGCACTCGATGCTCAAGATGTTCTTGGCAGTGTCATCCAAGGTCGGCAGAGTGCAGCTGATATCTGAGCAGATCTGACTTGTTGTCAGAGGCACCAGGGTTCCAGATAGACTTCTTTCAACCATTTGGGGCACAGCGCTGGAGGATACCTTGTCAGACAAATAAATAATATCAGGGTAGGCAGCCTCAGCATAAGCGCATCGGTACTCAACCACGGGAACAGGCTCCTGATACTCAGCATGGCACCGCAGTGAACAGGCGGATCCAAAGGGTACCAGATAGCCAGCAGAATCCTCCGTCAGCATCACCTGCCTTCCGTCCAGCACACAGTCGTAGGAACCCTCTGCATGGCGACTCAGGCGGCATGGAAGGTCCACACAAGTCAGGTTGGAGGCTCCTGCCATTGCAAAGGAGCTGTTCTTGCACACGTACTCCTCCTCAGACACGCTGCTATTCGCAGGTACTCTCGGGCTGCGACAGCTCTCCCTGAAAATGGCACCCTCGCTTGCGACTGGAAACTCCTCCTCTTCACAAGGATTGCCAATGTGGATACCCAGAGAAGCACATGTGCTAATGCGCTCCTGAATACCTGTCACCAGTGAGCAGCAGGACTTACTGAAAAGGCAAAGTGGTGCCCGTGCCAGATCAAGACAGCTTTGGTTTGAAGTGATTGTCAAAGGCAATTCGTCCAAACAGCTGGCCGTCGCATGATCCACGTCACATGTTTCATCCGCCACCGCCTTCTCGTCACAAACATTATCAACCTGTAAACCCGCGGCTAAGCAACTGCTGATGCTGCCTGAGATCGGTTGCGCAGCTGCCCCACAACAGTTCACGTTCCGAAGGCAGTTGATGGACGTAGGCAAGGCCACGCAGAAGACCTCGATATCCGTAATTGATATCACTGCCTGAAGACAAAGCTGCGCTTGGGGCAAGTCACAGACAAGCGTGGAGGTTGTAGTTGTTGTAGGCATCGTGGGCGAAGCCCAGTATCCAAACTTGTAGCCCACGAAGACTGAACGCGTTCTTGGGTCGGCTAAGCCAGGAACATTCTCGCAGGGAGCTACGCACTGAGGAGGGTCAGACTCATCTATAACCCACAACCCGTTCAAACAGAGCAACTTCCCTGTATGAGAGAAGGCATTGCTACAATTGAAGGGACATGCAGAGCCATTCAGGTTGTCGTCGCCGCAATCTTGTATGGCCATCTCGGGCAAAAGGTTTGGACCAGGCAAGTCACTACAGGTGTATGGGAACGAGGGCCTTGAGGACTGGCAGTTCACACCACCAATCAGTTCGGGAAGGTCCAGAGCCAGCACCCTCTGGGCCTGCACCGTCATTGCGGTGAAGTCCAGGGATCCTGGGAACACTTCAACTATATCCATCTGGCTGGAGCTGGCAAAGAACACTCGCGAGCCAAACTGCCACGCAAGTCCGTAAATATTTGCGACAGCCCCCTGTACTGCAAAAGATTGGAAGCCGGAGCCTTCCCGCCAAAGCAACAGCCCCGAGGGCACCAAGCTTATCACATAAGTTGACACACCTGAGCCATCAAGATCTGCTGTGTAGGCAACCATGCCGCCGACCTGGCTGGGTACGATGCCATGCGCAACCGACGGCAGCCACCCCCAAATCTGTGTTGAAGGCAGAGAGCCTGCAGAGCCTGCAGAGCCAGCAAAGGAGCCAACGCCTTCCAAAGAGCTGATGGACGTATCCCCTGCGTAATAAAGGGTTCCGTCCAATGTAAAAGCAGCTGTCAGAACACTTGTGCCATCTGGAAGCTGCGCAACAAATTCGGACTGAAGTTCATCAACGCGCATGACGAAGACGTTGCTTCCGTACGTGACGATGCAATACAGTGTAGAGTCTTGCGGGTTTATACCACAGGCATTGACCAGGCCAGCTCCCACCTGCAGTCGAAAAAGTCCTTGCCATGTAGCATTTGGGAAGAAACCGGCTATCTCAAAGGCACCTGGAGAGTCTGCGCTTCGAACTGCAAAGGCAGTTGATCCGTCCGAGCTGCAGCGAAAGGTGCTGATCGCTGAACATAAAGTCTGTACCCAACACCAGATCAGCAAAGTGGAAACCAACCAACTATTGGGATGCCATGGCCGCGACTGAGGGTTCATGCCTAGATTCCTAGATGTCAGTTGCAACGTTGGATCCTGACCTCCTAACTTTTTTCTCGGTGATTTTCCTCTGACGAGAGGGGTGTCTAAGAGCAGTGTACATGCTGCAACTCTATCTGGATCTGGGACGGTCGCGTACTGCACACACAGAGGTCAACACACAACATGGGTATCTAACAGCTGCAAAGCTTGAGGAAACGATGAAGGATCGCGATGTCCTCCCGCCCTGGAAGAAAGAAACTACTACTCTGCTCTATTGGGACAACCTGCCTTCTATTACTAATGTCTCCAGCTGCTGGGCTGCTGCTGTCACCACCCCCACACCGCCACCCCCAACAACCAGACACACCATGATGACCTCGACAAGCCCACAACTAGAAGCCACAGCATAATCACCCTTAAGGCCATCATGACTCTACCTGCTACATGTATTTCTGGATTCCGCATCCTGCATGGCCTGGCTTGTTCGCAAGCACCTCTACGTGCCAACAGTCGCCGTTGGTGGACTGTACCATGGCGTCCTTCTAAGAAAGATCCCAAACTCGAAGCCATGAACCTGTCGTCGCTGTTCAGGCCACGAAATTAAGGATGTTGATCTGCAAGACCCATTGACCTCGTCTTTCTTTGGCCTTATGGCTTGCCCATGACGCCACAACAGGATGGGAAAGCCGGCCTGACCCTTTTTGCTGTGCATGTGCATGGCGCTCAATTTCACTCCATGGCTCAGCGCATGCAATCCCATCCACTCGTTTTCAACCCGCATCCGCAAATGGTAAGCTTCCTTACACACGCATCAACAGCTGATGCCTCTTGTGTGGAGGGAGTCTTCAAATCTAGGGAGGCAATTAAAGCCACTGCACCCATGTAGGGCCAGTTCTCTTCAGAGACCTGATCCTGAAGATGCCAACATGCAAGCTCCGCGGTAGCAATAAAATGCAGCAATTCTGCATACCTCGAAGACTCTTGTAATGCTCTTCTAGGCCTTGCCACAACAGGACACCACTTGCTGCCCGCTCTCAGCACGCTAGGAGAACTAACATTGCCCAACAGCGTCTGCCTTGCCACGCAAAGTAGAGCTGGGAGTTGCCTCAGTGGCATTTGTGTTGTCCCTTGCTTACGAGTACAAGCTTGCTCCTTTGCTTCTGGCTGTAGGACAGGATTTGAGCTGTAGGTGGATCCCTGGTAGGTGGATGCTTTGAGTCGCAGTCGTCGGGGTGTCCATGGTTTCAGGGTATCAGGTTGATGTTTGGGGTTCAATCGAGGTCTCGGATGCATTCGGGGTTAGGAGGATCGCGACTCTCAGAGATTTGGGAAGCCCTGGATGAGAAGTAGCGATGTCATCTGCACTCCGGAAGTTCAACGAGAATTTGCTCATGAATGTGCGGTTGCTGCCTCTACACCACGGAGCAACTTCTGTGCTCGTGTAGCCGATAGGAATCTGATATCAATGCTTCGCACAGCTTTGCGCCGCATTGCAACGCTTCGCGCTGCTTCGCGCTGCACGAGGCCCACGCCCTGAAACTTTGTCAGGGGGAAACGTTTGGAACGTTGCGTTCTTCTCAAAGCCCGACTGGAGACCCTAGAGCCCGAGCTTGGTGGTGATGATGACATTGCCTGGCCAAATCATGCCAAGACTCCAGCTTGTGGAAGGCTGTGCGTCCAAAAAAGTTCAGCGAGCGACTCCTGCCAGTTCTTGGAATCAGGGATATGTCGTTCTTGCTTGCTAGATAGAGATGTCTTCTCATCTCAGTCTACCCCATCTCCCAAATACTGTCACTGCCACAATTTCTGCTGCTAAGTGCCTCGAGATTTGTAGATGCCAAGATCAGCCAGCGCCTTTATTGGCAGCTTCCGCACGCTCTGGACATCCTTGGAGGAGATGTCCCGGCCCAGGATGGAGATCAAAGGGAAACCGAGCTGGCCTGAAGCACGAGCAGACTTGGCCAAGGACTGAAATGTGCAGATTGTCCATCCAATCTAACCCATATTCTAAATCTACCTTCAGAATGTAACCCCAATATACTATGGTAGTTTCCATTGTATTTTCCATTAGCTAGTTAAGGCATTGTAGAGATTGTAGGTCCCAACAATTCTGCGCCTGCAGTCTTCGAGAAGCCACTCCCACAGCCGTCATTGCAGTTTGTCCCCGGGCTAGGGCTCAGCAGAATGCTGCTTAAGGCCAGGAGATACCAGTCTGCATAGACCTGACCCAGTCGATGACTTGTTTTTGACTACAGGCTGTAGGTCCCTGTTCCGCAGCATTAGCTTAAAGGATGTTGGGCCTTCTGGATCTCGGTGACACTGGCTTTCTTGTCAGTCGAATGCACTGAATGGCCGGGGTTCGCAACCACCTCGAAGTGGCGCAGGCCAACTGTGACATTACTCAGGCCCCGCTTCCCCGTGCCGAAGCACACACTCTGGAAGACGTAAGTCCTAGCATCCCTAGCCGTATCTTGAAGCTGGACCGGCCTTGCAGGTCAACTTGTTCTCTGCAGCCTTGAGGGCTGCCGCATTGTCACTCGCAATGAACACTACCGGTTGGGCCTGGGCAAAGCTTCAACTTTGGCAAAGCGAAACAGGTCACTTGGATTCTCCAGGTGAAGAACGTGTCACGAAGGAAATCATACCGATCCTTGCCAAGCCACATCCAAGGGCCTGAGCACCTCCTTGAGGGCGCGCAGCAGGTCGTTCACGTGACTCAAGTATTTTTGCAGAGGGACCTGAGACCTCTTGTCATTGTTGGCGCCGGAAACTCTTCCGAGCTCTTTGCTCATGAGCGTATCACCCATCCTGAAATGGATGCCGACCAGGAAGGCCTTGCAGCAAGCTACGATATGCTACAGGAGCTATGAGGCCTAGCTAAAAGGGACACGGGAGACGTGCTTTGCAGGAGCTGTTGCCTTCGTGGATGCGAGGCTTTGCAAGACGGGCTGCAGAAAGCGGAGCAGGTCCGGCTGGGGATCGCCCATGGAAAATCTCAAGGAGCACCTTCCGAAATGCTTCATGTCTCGCGTGATGGCCTTGGCCCTCTCCCTGTCAGACTCTTCCCATCCTCTCTTCAGCTGCTGGATCATTTTGTTTCTACAATCCAGTGGCACGATGTGCTTGAGAGTCCGCACGTTCTTGCTTCCAACCCCCAGCAATAGAATTGGATGTGATGGGAGCTTCCAAGAACTGGGAGGCTTCAGCATGTTGATGCTGAGCAAGTTGCCGGAGGAAGGGTCCTGGAAATGAGCATTGCAGTCGTCCTTGTCCTTGAAGATGGGAGGCCCTTTCGCAACAGTCACGTTTGCCACCACATCCCGAAGTGCGACACCGGACACCTGCATGCTTGGAGGCATGTGCCGTGAGTGCAACAGATTCCAAATTTGGCCATCTGAGTAGAGCAGCACAGGCCGTCGCAGCATCCACGCGATCATGAAGTTTAGCTGCCAGAACATGACATTGCTGACCCCCTTGGTGGATTGCAAGTTGATCAAAACGGCATTCTGCCGACTTGCCATACCAACCCCCTTCATCGAACCCTTCCAAGCATAGTCTCCGCAGAATGTCGTCCCTCTCCACAAGTAGCTGGCGACTGCTGGGACCTCCTCCCAGAGCATCCCGAGGCCGAGGGCTTCATGCACCGTACTCTTGTTCAAGGCAGGAGGGATAGGCTTGTCCCGGTGTTGCTGCGCTCTAGTTGTTGAGGGTGGGGCAGCTGCGTTATGGGGTGCAGTAGGCGTTGCCCGCGTCGCTGGCGCTACTGGCATCACTGGCGGCAAGGTTGACAGCCACGACGGGCGTGCGGGAATTTGTGTGCGGATCTTCTCGTGGAGGCTGCCACGCGTCCCTGAACCAATCAGTTGATAGGCATCCGTGCGGAAAGCAGGCAGAACGAGCAGCGGCACCCCGAGGAGCACCTCAGCACGAATTCAAGTGGCAAAGCATCCCAAGAAGTAAACTTCACAAAAATGAAGCAAACGCTTCCATACATGCCGAGCAGCGAGCACCAGAAGAGCACCACTGCAGCATCCCAGAACAATGCCCGAGCAGGCGAGTGGCTTGGCAGCTGTCTCTGGGTGCATCCGCGGCGTCACGGAGCCGCTGTTCTAAGACTCCCTGGACCAGTGGGCCATCGTAGTCTCCATGGCTCTCAATTTCAGCTCAGCATGGCTCTCTCGCATTTAATTTCTAAGCCTTCATTTCAGCAGTATTCTGTAGTTGTCCCTACACAAGCTGCCGGGGCGCATTCTCATTGAGCCGAGCTGTGATTGTAAAATGCTTGAGTACTGATTTATCACAGTTATCACAGGGACATCACAGGACGATCATAGGAAAATCACAGAGATATCAGAGAAAAACAACCGAACAATCACAGAGAAATCAAAGCAAACTCAGAGAGAAATCACAGAGGAATCACAGGAACACCACAAAGAAATCACAGGAAACTCACCGCCCCCTCTGCCGCGCACAGACAAATCACAGGAACCCTCACAAACCGAATCACAGGAATAATCAAAAAAAATCGTCTTTTAATCGACGTCCGTATTTGCATCGGTGGGCCCTCATAAAGCTAGAAATAGAAGCTCAAAAGTAGCGCTCAGAACAACAAACACATGCAAGCCAATCCAACTGCTCACAACCCTGAAGTGGCAAATGGTTTTCGGTGAGACAGCGAGCCCGCCCAAAAGAGACCCGACCTCTAGCCCTGAAGGTGCACAGCAGATCTTTGAAGGAAATGAGTGCAGCTTGAAGGGTTCAGAAGTGCTAGGTGCCTTGCACAAGATGCCAGCCGCCAGGCCGCTTGTAGCACTCCGCCAGATCTGTTCAGGATATATATATTGAGGTTATATAGGAATAATGCAAAAGAAAATGGAAACTACTATCAGGGGTTATATAGGGACTACTAGAAGGACCCATTTCAATGGGGTCAGCAGATGAGGCGTGCTGTTGCTGGCAGGCTTGCTTGCTTTGGCAATTACGTTTGCTCTGCGATTCTCGCCGTCGTGTCGTAGAAGATATGCAAGCTCAGACTGCAGAACTACAACCTGGAACAGGATCCATGTGAGCAATCCTTGGCTCATCTCTATAGAAAACTCCAATTGAAAGGCGCTGCAAGTTTCGCTACAGAACCTGAGACACAAGCAGCACTTTTCCAGCAGACACCACGAGCTCCGCAGCGCATCTGGCAGGAGAGATCGATGAATTTTAGCTGCTTTCCTCGGACTTCTCACCGTCTTTGCCGCTCTTGCTGCCAAACCTTGGCTAGACATGATATCTGCCACCAACAAAGGGCATGGACTGACATACTGCAGAGCTATAGGCTGGAGAATGTTGACTTTCCATCGGAAAAGCGAGTCGAACTGCCCAGTGCTTACGGCACTGTAGCGATGGAGAAAATCCATCAACGTCTCCTGCAAAACTCTAAAAACAGGTCCCAAAATTCTGACTGCTGTTTCCAAGAAGCAGGCGCTGCTCTAAGTGAAAGGCCTCAAGGCAAGCCCGGGATGGGAGTTCTCTAATATTTGCCTCATCAGCAAGTACTTGCAGGGCTCAGACTATCAAAGGGTAGCCTGTGGTCTGCTGAAATTGCTGTTTCTCAGAGAAAAAAGCCATGAAGCCTAGCGGTCTCTAGTGAGCGAAGGACTTGCACCGTTGCCATTGCTAAGCACATCCTGGGCTCCATCCGCCCAGAAATGGCTTCCTACCCTAAACCCTAAACCCTAAACCCTAAACCATAACCTCAAGGGGACTCACCCAAAGCGAAGCCCAGATCGAAAGGACCAAATAATCCTTAACAAACCTTAATCCCTTGATGGTTAGCATTCGTCCCTTAATCGGGGGGGTCTCCTGCCTGCTAGGTGGCTCCCCCCACCTACTTTTTACCACGTTGCCCCTGCTGCCTTTTCGTACAGGAGCTCACCCATAGAGGCTCCATGGTCCATCAGCGGAGATGACAGGACCGCCAGTATCACGAAGGTCCAGGACAGCACTGTCCTTGGTGAAGCCCCACGGAACTGTGACTTTCTGTGAGAAATAGGGTTCCCCCTTAAACACCCGAGAAAAAAGAACCCATCTCCAAAATCGCTCCTAGCTGGAGGAGGGTCAGGGTCTCCCTGGGCACGTGGTTCTGCTTGCAACCAATAGCAGTGATGACAAGGGAGAATTCGCTAATCTGCGAGAGGTTGATGGTGGAGCGGGTAGCGGGTCCGAGATCGCCTCCGCAGCTGTAGATGGGGCAGAAAACACCGATCCACCTCGCCGCCATGACCACCTAAACCGCGTGGCTCTGCTGAATGCAAAAGAGCCACATACACACTAATGTAGACCCATGATTAATAAACCCCCTCCATTTCAGGGCCTTAATATTAGGATCCCTATTATAATGCCTATTAAGGGGAGGGGGTTTATTAATCATTGGTCTGGGGTAAGCTTGAACAGCTTTTATTCACATCAGGCAGTGTGCAAACACCTCTGTCCAATGTAAATGAAAACTGTAGGGTCAGCCCTTTTGCATTCAGCAGAGCCACCAGTGAAATGGTGCAGGCAGAGGTGAAGACGTGCTTGGTAGGGTAGGGAATTTGCATGCCCAGAGATACGAAGTACAAAGTAACAAAAAAATCACGGATGTAGCGGATCCTCTTGTTGATCGCTGGTGTGCCCGGAAACGTTGCCAAGGAAGCTCCCGCAACCAGGGCCGCCAACTCGATGGAGACATTCACGAAGGGCAGCATGGCGGCAGCGCACACAAAAAAACACCAGCCTAAGAGCTCCGTATGCACAGCGCACAGAACGATGCATGTCAAGACTCTGACAGCGCTGAATGAGTAAGGCAGCCTAACTCTCAACCTCTTACACAAGTTCCACCGAACCACGGACCCCTGAGCTCCCGGCAAACAAAAAGGATCATGTTCATCTCGGAGGCACCTTCTGCGCCTCTCATCAGCACTGGCAACACGTACTTGGCGTACAGAAAGGTCACGCAGACCAGTGCAAGCATCACGGCAAAAGTACGGCCAATGGCCGCGAAGCGGGGGTCTCTGAGGTTTGGCTGAAGGGCCAAAACCACGATGGCCCACATGTCCTGGAAGATGAGGACTCCGATGGAAATCTGGCCAGCTTCCGTCTTGGTTTCGTTTGCGTCCTGGAGCTTCTTTACAACGATCATCGTGGAGGACATGCCGCAGCAAACTGCAATGTACAGAATCTGTAGGTGAGAGTCACCAATGGGAACACCATAGCGCGCTAGAACGCCGAAAGCCAGCAAATGCAGAGTAACGCAGATTGGGAACTGCATCAGCCCCGACAGGAAAAGCTTGCTTCCCAGTCGTGTCAACTCGTTTACGTTCAGCTCTAAACCGATCATAAAAAGCAAAAAAATCAGGCCAAGCTCGCTCATCGTCGCGATTTCCTGCTCTTCGATAACTAAGCGCAATCCAATAGGGCCCACGAGCACGCCCCCCAGCAGATAGCCCAAAATGAGAGGCTGCTTCAGGAGATGCATTAAGTAAGCCAGGCAGCCTGCTGCTAGAGTCCCGTAAATGATGTTCCGCATCACCATCTGCCGGCCCTGCTTGATGTGTAAAGCATGATGGCCCTCTCCCTTGGGATCAATCAACGGAGATGGTATGACAAAGATCAGGCCCAACAGAAGGATAGCCAAGGCATAGATGACCACCTGCAGCAAAATTGACACAGGTGTCGCGGCAGATGTTCCTTTGGCATCCTCTGGTTTGCTCTGGGGGCTTGCGGTCGCTCCGTAGCCCTTTTGGCAGGAAGACTCCAGGTCGCCATCCGGCGCGGCCATGGCTGACAAGCCCGTCTGAGGCTAGTCAGGACTTCATTTTTTCGGTACTTCATGAGCCGGATCAACATGCACATGCAGCAGAGGTTCGAACAAGCATCATGTGTTTTCACAGCCTACAATCCATACACAAGTCGCCTGCCTTCAAGGTTTTCCCATTGACCCTGAGTCGATCCTTAGGGGCAGAAACAGAGTTCGGAAGAGTAGTGGAAATTAACAAAGCCCAATCCTCTTCCACCCCACATGCCGCGACGAATAGATTGAAAGTGAGAGCAGAATCGTACTTTGCGGACTGTTTGAAGGTCAAGGTCCAAGGCTTGCCAAACTGAAGCCCGAAGGTGCTTCATTTGTGAGGTACATAAGTGCGGCGATGCAAACTGCGACGCCTAAACCATCCTTCCCAGGATGTTCTACTCTCCTCTCACTCCCTTCATTTGGGTTTTCGGCGTTTTGGAACGTATTCCTACAGTGGTCTGCATCTGCACTGAGCTTGATGCAGCTTCTGCGGACTTGACAGCCGGTAGCCATCGCATGCCCTTCAGGCATGCTGCCCACTGAAGCAGGAACTGTAAGCACAGAGAGAAAATCTGAGAGCACAGCTCCCCGCATAATCTACAAAAATTGGAAAGCCTAACTCAAATTCAGATGTTTGGAGCTCAAGCGCCATGTTCGTCGATTGCAGATTGCGGAGCTTAGAAATTCGCTGAAGCACCGCGCAACAAAGAGGCGAGCACCAACAGTGGCAGCAGGACCAGTGGAGACTGCGAGCAACCAGAGACCATGAGGGAAGCATCCCTCTGCGGCGGCATGTACTCATCATCGATAGTACAGTCAGGAATACTAAACGTGTTCTGCTGATTGTCATCCTCCGGATCTTTCCAAGATGGATCACCCCTGGGTTGGTCCTTGGTTGGGACCTGTACAGACCCAAAACGCCAGAAGCACCGTGCCACATTCCATTGTGTCACGAGGAAGGCAGAGTAGTCGGGTGCATAGCTGCGAAGGGAGGGAATCGTCTCTCCAAAGGCATTCACAAGATCCTCCTGCTTGCGAGAGTCTCTCAGATGGGCCCAGGTGCCTATGCGCTGGCCTCCGATAGGATGGAAGTGACCCGAAAAGACAGCTATTGTACGCGAGCCAGCCACAACCTCTGAAAAGTAGTGGTACCGCTCGACTTGGTCGTCTGTTTCCCAAGGAGCAAAGTGTCCATTCACGTCGTGGATGAGGAGCACGAGGTAATCCTTCGTCTTCTCTGCTTCAGCCACCTGGCGCTGACAACAAATGAACCACTATCATGGATGGAGTCTGAGCTGCTAGCAATATAGCACGGTAAACCATAAACACTAGCATGTGAAACTGTTGAAGACAACTTCTTACCTCATCCTTCAAGAACTGCATGGTGGAGGCCACACCAGTGAGCGATTGACGTCGGTACGTGGGATAGTTGTGCAGGTGGACAAAGCCTCGCTTGTGCTAAAGTCGGTCTTGCGATTCGTTTTTTCAAGGGTCGATTTACCAACTTGGAGGAGAGGGACTGGCACGAAAGCTAGAGCAGGATCTAACTGGCAGAATTCAGATGCGCACTCTTTCCTTTTTGACTACGGCTACAGGACATAAGCTCGTGATTGACACCTAAATGCGTGGCACTCAAAGAGTATGCATTGTAGATGTAGGTGTATGTCGTCTTTGCATATGACTTTACTTACATTAGCTGATCTAGTCCTCGCCAGTAGTCCGCTATACTCTCGTAGATACATCATGTACGAATGATCAAACACAAAGCTTGAACCAAGCCCAGAAAGCCTGAACCATGTCCAGGATTCATGCGATGGGTCGACCATGTATTCTTTTGCCTGTGATGCACTTGTGACGTGCTCTTTCATGCTCTTTCACACCCTTTTCATCCAGTCGTTTGAGCCAAAAAAAATTCTGTTAGGTGGGATACAGAATTCTTTATGTGTTCTTTAAAGTCCTTGAAGGGTCCCCCGGTCCCACACCCGAATCCCTCCCTGCCCTGCTCTCTGGCTGAAAAACCCGTCAAAAATGACCACTTTTTGGGGGACCCACCCCCCACACCCCTTGTTGCAAGCTAACGCTTGATCAGAGGCTCAAGCTAGACCCGGAGGCAAGCTTTCTTGATAAAAACTCACTCTGCACAGGTCAAAGAGCGGATGCGACCATAGCGGACGGTGTAGCCGGTAGAGTCCTCCAGCACAACAAAGTTCTGAATGCTTTTGGGATTTCAGGGAAGAGACGGAAAAAAGCTGAGGCTGAGTCATACCTAGTACCCGCTTGACATCTACCTGCTTCTGCACAGCTTGTCAAATTGTCATATCTCTATGGAGCCTGAAGGCAAATGTCCTTGTCGTAGTGATCCACATGACCACCGAAGTTGTTCACTACCGTTTTCCCGTCACACTTGCCAACTGCTGCGCGCATATACGCAATCCTCAGCAAGCAGCGACGTTGACTCAGCATCAAGTATTCTTGTACAGCCTACGACAAGAATCAGGCAGCGCGTAATGTGCCCAGCAGCATTCGCTGCGCACAGGAATTCTTTCCGTAGCCAGACCACACAGGCTCCTCTTCGATCCACCAACAGCTCTCCAAGTTGTTGGCATAATCCTCAGCCACTCACATGCTTACCTCTGCATCTCCGCAAACCGTTCATGATGCCCTCACAGATGCACAGAATATCCCACAGGTGCATTGATGCAGGTTCTCTCACATGAAGCTATCCTTGGCCAATTAGCTTTTGCCAACTCCACAACAAATTCTCCCGCACATCTGCCCTGCAAAGTGCGAAGTGGTCCGACTGCTTTTGTGATACCTTCAGCCACTCAGCCCAACTTGCAGATCTCTACAGCCACGAGACATGATTGCCAAGACCTGGCCATACTGGAAGCTTGATGTTCTTGTCCCGATCCTGAACTCACTCGGGCTCAAGTCGGACCCTGCTCAGTCTGAGCCCAAGTTCATAGTTTCTGCCCGTCCGCTTAGCCTGCGTAGATGACCCCTCACCGTCCTTCTCATCATCGCGAGTTTCCCAGATCTGGCGATAGAGGCGGAACTGCCAGTTGTGGGCGTAAGCTGTCAGGTCGCCAGTGATGAAGACACCTGGCTCCAAGATCGAAAGCTACTCCAGTCCAAATATGCTGCTATTTATTACATGTATTATCCTTACTATTATTACTGCTCTTACTGGTACTACGACTAGAACTGTTGTTACTACTCATACTATTATTACTATTGTGGCTATGAATATTTTCATGGCGAGTATTGGTGGGCCCCGCCAGGCCTAGTGGCGAAGACACGCGCGGATTGGTTCCGTTGCCGTCCGTGACCCAGGACAGCTTGCTGACGTCATGGATGCCTGCGAAAGGCTTACTGGGGAGTAGTAGGGAATATACTAGAGGGATTATATAGGAATTATAATATACGGGTAGTATAGGGATTCTGTAGGGAACATATTACACCGGGATTATAGAAGGATTGAATTTCCCTTATTCCCTGGTAAGAACCAATAAGAAGAAAGCAGAACATGGGTGCATTAGCAAGAACTTCAGCGGAATTTGAAGGCAAGCTGTAAAGAAGGAACCGATATCTTCTTGACCCAGCACGTCCCATGTATCCCATTTGTTGCGTCATACTCACTGGGTCTGTAGTATGTTGATTGTCGTGCTGATGTGGTTAGCAAAGCACTGAGGATGAAGTTTGGGAGCACCTTTCTGGCCCCTGGTGCGCCATTCAAAACCATCCTGCCTTGTACGAGTCGGAAATTTTCTTGTATTGCACAGTCGACGTCGTCCTTGTTGTCTCCGCTGCACCAAGGCAGTTGAGTGTCCTGCGCTCGCTAACACTCAAAGGAGTTAAGCAATGCTAGTTCCCAAATCGACCTGCCGACAGACAGGAGATAGTCCAGAGCTTAGCAAAAAATACGCACCATATTTTCTAAAATCTTGTTCTTTACCAGCTACCAGGAACATGCGCAAGCAAAGCAAGCAAGCGCATGCAGTGCAGCCATGTCCGAAACCATGATCACGGTGAAATCACGATTGCCATCGTCCGGGTTGGCGCCAGGTCCAAACGAGTCTCCAAGCGTGCCTTCAGCTGTGTAGCTTCGTGCAGGAACCATGGATAGGACAACAGGAATCCAACATACCATTGGTCATTAGAGAGGACACGGATGAGAGATGTTGAGAGATTGAGGTAGGGAATGCAAAGAGCATGTACCAACCACACACTCACAAAGAGGGGTGGAGCTCAGCCAAAGCACGGTTCCCACCCACAAGGTTCGGCCTCCCTGGAACCGAAGTACAGAATAGCAGCGCGTGCAAACCCGAAAGCGACAAATTCAAAGCAGCCCATCTCGTTTACAGAAGAGTGACAAGTTGTAGGCAACACGCCCTGACCTCGGTCGTAGTGGTCCTTCGCCTGCAAGACTTGAAAGCTTACGCCATGTTTCACGAAACTTCACCCGGCGCCTGCAATTTCAGGCTAAATCCTTCCTTCTTGCACATGCCACCAGCAACCTCTTTGAAGCCACTCGGGCAATCCTGCAAAGGCTCATTTCGACTTGTCAGATATACTCTAGAAATAAAAGCTTGCTCCTTCTTCCAGCACATGCGCAAGGTGCCCGCTGGGTAGTCCAAGTTGCAGTAATTGTAGCACATCCCTGCTTGGAAGTCTTTCCTTGCGCGCACGGTGCTGATGGTCAAATGGCTGCTTATGATTCAAGGATGCTAGCCATCTGTACCTAAACTTCCTCGCCAGGAGTCCCATCCACGCACATCATCACCTTACCAGCTTGCGGGTTGTAGGCCCCTTCCACAGGTGAAGGGTCCCTTCCAGGGAGCAGCTGCACAGAGTATGACATTCCTACTCCGCACACTTGGGCCCACCTGACATCGCCAAAGTCGCCTCCATCGGGACCACCCTGAACCACAATCTGTCCTCAGTGTTGATAGTCTTGCCATGCTCTTCAAGTAGCCATCTGTAGCTAGACAAGGGACAAACTTCCTTAAATCTCGAACCGCTCCGACCCTTGCCATCAGCCGAAGATTCCGTTTGGTCCTGTGGCAACTGGAGCTGGAACTCCCATGGCGGGGTCTTGGACAGCCTGCCAAATCAAAAGCTGGCTTGCACATGCATGCAAGGTAGCTGACAGAGTCCAACAACCTGTCGTCCTTCTCACTGGTCGTAATAGAGCATCAAAATTCTAGGAGGCGTTCGCAAGCAATCGAAGGAACCATGCATTGTAAGCCAGCCACGGTTGAATCTCTCACTTTCGCCCACCTGCTCGTACGTCTGGCCAAAAAGTCGCTCCGCCTCGGCCTCGCGCTGGGCCTGGAGGCTGGGGATGGTTTCGGCTTGCAAGGAAGCTTAGCTTGCATTACACCACTTGAAGCCGCCAGCTAAAACATGTATCCTGCACGTCTTGCGAAGAAATCATGGCCTCAGAAATGTGGGCAGAGCTCCCGGTTGCTTGCGCGGTAGCTGCAGCCAGTGCAGCGTCCTGCGGTGAGCTCGTGAAAGATCAGTGAAACAAGAAGAGGCCATAAGTTGCGGCTGCGGAGTCATGGAATCCTTCTGCACGAGACTACCAAAGGCAGCCACCAGCCCAAATCGTTGAAGAGTTTTCCGTACAACAGTGTTCCACATTGGAGATGTTCTGCGCTGACACATCTTACACCGTCTCATGCACATGCGAATCCTCTAAATCCTTAAGATTGTTTGCACGTTCTTTGCAGTTGAGGCGGGCTCGAATAAGCTGAAATTCCTGGAAATGTAAGTGAGAGCGAAAAGTAGAGCAGCAGCGGCAGCAGCAGCAGGAGTCGTCTTGGTGTTGCCTGGTATTGCGGCAATAATGCAAAAAGTGTGCATTTACAGTGTTGTTTGCAGTTGTTCCGTTTGATTACAATTCTACGGCACTTTGTTTGCTCGGTTCCTCGGATTTGAAAGGCTTCAACAAGCCGAAGTTCACGGAAAATGTGCGAAAACGTGGTGGGACGCGTCTCCTGTGCACTAGCAAATGTCAGTTGGAATGCGCAAGAAGACCGAAGAATTCAAGGCAAGTGGTCTGTCTGTATGAGACAGGAGCAAAAGCACTGAGCTCTTGAAGGTGTTGTGGGTTTCGCTGTAGCGAAAACACCGACTCAACCATGACGTTTCATTCAAGGATTTCGCATAATCAAGAGGAGCACAAAATACTTGCTAAGGATAGTTCGGGATTTTAAGCAAAGAAGGGATCCACAAAATACGTTGGGACCACAGAATACTTGTTAATTAAGGATGATTCAGGATTCTAGATTCTAGGCATGAAAAGAACCATATAGCACTTGTTAAGGACTACTACTCGGAATGCTAATCGTACAGTAAAGACCGCTTGTTAGGGGGGC